GTTACATCACACTGGTCTAGTTTGTCCAAAACTGTCCTAAGTCTAGTGTCATGTTCCGCCTCTGTCTGTCCGAGTATCAGGACATCATCTGTTTGGCAAAGAACTCCTTCAATGCCCTCAAGTATTTGAGACATCCGTTTTTGAGGATGTTGTGAGGGATGTTGCACTTATTCATTATCCCTCATGTACAGACTCAATCAAACCGAGTCTGCAATTCTTATGTTATTTTGTTGTGATTAATGCTTCCGAGGGATCACTTTGTTTCCAGAATTTTGAAAATATTCAGAACTACTAGATAATCCCATTGGTAAGCGATTAAATGCGTATCTACCAAAAGGTGTGATAAATGTAGTCAATAATTTACTTTCTTGAGCAAGTTTAATTTGCCAAAATGAACTATTAGCGTCTAATTTTGAACTAGAAATGTGTCCATAGGACACGGGTGCCCCCACCCCGCCACTGTTCTGTCAATCTTATGACTCTAGAGCAAATATTTTTTGAAAACTAAAAATCTTTTACTAATTAAAGGGCAAGAACTTCACAAATACTGAATAAATCCACGAGCAAACCCCAAGGTGCATATGTACAACATAATGAAACGGTATTTACTAAGTCAAGGGTAATAACTCTACAAATACTTGATAAATCCACAAGCAAAATCCCAGGTGCAAAACTAAATATGCTGAGCAACCTTCCCGTAAGGTTTAATGACTCTATGTCAAATACTTATTGAGTTACATGCGACATAAATTGAAAATTGCAAAACTTTTCTAAGTCAAGGGCAATAACTCTAAAAATACTTAATAAATTCAGACGAAAATACCCAGGTGCACAACTACACATGCTGATCAACATTCCTGTAAAGTTTCATGACTCTATGTCAAATCCTTTTTGAGTAACATGTGACACAAGTTGAAAATTGCAAAATTTTACTAAGTCAAGGGCAATAACTCTAAAACTACTAAAAATATCCAGACAAAAATACCCAGGTGCACAACTACACATGCTGATCAACATTCCTGTAAAGTTTCATGACTCTATGTCAAATACTTTTTGAGTTACATGCGACACAAGTTGAAAATTGCAAAATTTTACTAAGTCAAGGGCAATAACTCTAAAAATACTAAAAATATCCAGACAAAAATACCCAGGTGCACAACTACACATGCTGATCAACATTCCTGTAAAGTTTCATGACTCTATGTCAAATACTTTTTGAGTTACATGCGACACAAGTTGAAAATTGCAAAATTTTACTAAGTCAAGGGCAATAACTCTAAAAATACTAAAAATATCCAGACAAAAATACCCAGGTGCACAACTACACATGCTGATCAACATTCCTGTAAAGTTTCATGACTCTAGGTCAAATACTTTTTGAGTTACATGCGACACAAGTTGAAAATTGCAAAATTTTACTAAGTCAAGGGCAATAACTCTAAAAATACTAAAAATATCCAGACGAAAATACCCAGGTGCACAACTACACATGCTGATCAACATTCCTGTAAAGTTTCATGACTCTAGGTCAATTACTTTTTGAGTTACATGCGACACAAGTTGAAAATTGCAAAATTTTACTAAGTCAAGGGCAATAACTCTAAAAATGCTAAAAATATCCAGACGAAAATACCCAGGTGCACAACTACACATGCTGATCAACATTCCTGTAAAGTTTCATGACTCTAGGTCAAATACTTTTTGAGTTACATGCGACACAAGTTGAAAATTGCAAAATTTTACTAAGTCAAGGGCAATAACTCTAAAAATACTAAAAATATCCAGACGAAAATACCCAGGTGCACAACTACACATGCTGATCAACATTCCTGTAAAGTTTCATGACTCTAGGTCAAATACTTTTTGAGTTACGTGCGACACAAAAGAGAACGGACGGACGGACGGAAGTTCTCACAGGACAGTAATTATGTGGCTACTCTATTGTTCTCTCTATTGTTCTTTTTAGCCACACAAAAGAAAATAGCCACATAAAAGCATTACGGAATGAATGACATCAAAGAGAAAGAACAGTTACCTATTGTCCCTCTAGCAACATAATTACTCTCCTGTGAGTGCGGACGGACGGACGGACAAGGGTAAATCTAAATGCCCGCCACTAAAGTGGGGGCACAAAAATATTTTGCTCCAGTTATAGGACCTAAGCTTTGTTCTATAATCGGCAGATAAAATTTTCATGTCGCACACTTTTATTCAACTGTGTCAAATCAACACATATGCGCACGTTATTGTCGCTTTTAGGAATACATACCATTCCTGCACACTAATCTGTGCCTTCATCTACATTAAAAATTACGCCTGCCTTTTCCATACGCTCGAGCTCAGATTTAACTTTCGGTAGCAAAGGTATAGGCACGCGCCTTGGTACAGATAAAGCATAGGCTGCGCGTTTTCATTCAGTGAAATACGATATTCACCATCTAATTGCCCTAGCTCGCGAAATAGATTAGGATGCTTCTGTTTGACATTCTCAATGGTTTGAATCTCATCCAAATTTAATTGAATTGAATTGTGATTCTTTATAGCAGGTCTCCCTAATAAACATCTATCCATGTCTCTTACAATGTATATATTTTCTTGTGAAAAGTTACCATTGTGTGAGAGTCTGTGTAAATGAACCGGTAAATCAATTTTTTGTTACCTGGTAAAGATCTGAGAGTTTTATTCCATTTTGCTTTGCCTACAGTATTATAAAGACCTTCAGGATTAACAGTCAAATCAGCACCAGTGTCTAATTTAAAGAAGACAAACAAATCTCTAACCTGAAGTTTTATTGTCCAAGGTTCATCGGGTACACAGTCAATAGTTCCCAAATATGATGATGCGTCATTTGCACACAGTTCATGTACTTATTTAGTTTTACAACACACTGCGAAATGATTATAATGTCCACATTTCCGGCATACTTTCCCAACAGATGCACAATGTCCTCGTGCATGATATTTATTACAATTTGAAACCGTTTATTACAGATTTTCTTTGATTGTCTAGATAGTGTCCCCGAAAATTTCCGCGGCGCATCCTGCTGTCGAGAAACGTGTGGTTGCGGTACCAAACTTCGTTTTGGCTTTGCCCTGCCACAAACCTCATCTCTGACAGCTACATCCTGTTGTGATCGAATTTGGTTTTTAACTTATTCCCTGTTTCTTACCATTGTTACGCATTTTTCGAGAGTAAGGTCTTGTTCAAGCTGCAGTTTTTCTGACAAATTTTTATCTAAAATTCCAACTACGATTCGATCCCTTATTTACTTGTATAAAGATCTAATAAATGTCTCTTCTGTTTCACCTGGCATTTGGTTTCTCTTATTGAATTATGCTCGTTCGTGAATAATATTTTTCTTTGGATTAAAATGTTCGTCAAATTTTGTTAAGACAGTTCCATATTTTTTTTCGTTACATTCTGATAGTTCAAAAGATTTTAATAAATTGTCAGCTTCTTTTTCCATGGTATATACCAGTGTAGGGACTTTTATATCTTCATCTTCTTTATGAAGTTTTGAAGCTGTTCTGTAGAACGAAAATCTTTGTTTCCAGTTATTCCATTTATTTGGGCTTGAAAAATCAAACTTTTCTGGAGGTTGTAACTGAGCCATTTTTCTGATATTTCTTCGAAAATTAAATAAATGCTTTAGTTCTTCACAATATAATGTAGTCCAGCTAGCAATTTTCAATTTAATGTTAATCCGATCAACAGTGTTTTATTAATTTACAATTGAATGTAAGTCCTTTTTTTTACAATTTAATGTAAATCCTTTCCATTGTTTACAATTTAATGTAAGTCCATGTTTTTCTTCTGTACTATTGTTGCACATGTGCCTCTCTGTTTTTACTTCTGACACCATGAACTATTATCTGAATGACCGATGGTCAGTTATAACCATAACACTGTTAAATATATATAAGTTTTATTCCAAGTACTAGAGCATATGTTTACATGTTAAAGCATTCTATCAAACTGTTATCAGAGAGACAAATCTACACTGAGTTAAACCCACGTGACTAGAGAGTATATCATATTACACAACAAGTTTTATCACAATAATCCCATTTGCATCTAATTAAGTGTTGTTTGTATTAATTTAATTAATTAATTTAAAGTGCATAAACCTAGTACATTTCACAATGATCAGAAATGACAATTCTCTCACTATTGTCAGTTAATCAATTTTACAGACATATTATATTCAAGTAATAAATAGTAATTTTCAGTTATTTTTATAAACAGTACATTTGTCAGCTTTTGCAGGATGTCTATCACTAATAAAACAATGTAGAAATGTAGAAGAATGGACGACATGATGCAGGGTCTTTTTCCAGGATTTTGGAAACAAGATCCATATCCATGGAAATGGGAATTTCAGCAATCTTTCCTTAAAAATTTGGAAAAAATGCATGTCTTAAATTTTGCAGTGATTAAATGAATACAAAGAATCACTGCCTAGTACGGCATCTTCAAACATTTAAGCACCATAACAGTAAAGCCATTTTAAAATTTGTTATTCAATATTTTTATTTCGTAACTTTCAAATGGGATTCCTGTGAATTGGAAAAATAATAAACTAATATACTAATATAGGAAATATGACCGAATATTGCCTAAAAATAACTAAAGCTTTGGTGTAAGGTACAAAACTCTTGCATTACTGTGCAATTTTCTAGCAATTTCATGATTAACCAAAGGGATACAAATCTGCCAGTCTTGTCTGAAACTTTTCAAAGGGAGATTACACTATTGGTTATGATCTGTGGTCAGTTTGCTAAGAAATAAAATGATTGGTTCATGGATGGCTGATTTTAAGGTATTTTTATGTACTGTGATTTCTAAGTGGGAAGTCATTGTGTCTTTGTTATTGTGAAGAGAAGTGGAAAGATTAATGTTTTGTGGTCAAGTTCTTTATTTCTTAACTTGGTATGTATTTATCCTGACTGTTGCTGTAAATATTAGGTATTGCATTATTGTAATTCTGTTCTATTAAGTATTTGGTCCAGTCCATTGATTGTGAAATTTGTAATTAAGTAAGAGTTTCAGAATGACCTGTGTCTATCAAGTCAACTTTTCTCTTTTATTCACCATTAATATTTTACCTTGCAGTTAACACTCACTGGTGTGATAGAGAGGAGGAGGTGTAATTTATTAGATTGATGTACTCAACTCATTGCTCAGATGGTAAGTTAAATCTGATGTAGTGTGTATTGTATAAAATGTTATAATGGTATAATGCATTGTTCCTACTTAATTTCACTTTATATTGACCTTTTTAATGTGTTAAATTCGTTTAATTCAATAATTATGCATATGATATGTAAGGACTGTTGCTATGTTTAAATGACTGATCAGCCACTAGACAAGTTGATAATTATGTTCTAGACGTGAACATTATCGTTACATAAGATATGGATAATAATTTATGTATACTCTTGCCTCATATATCCGTGTTACTCATAATTCCAAGGTATACCGTTTACAGTTTCAACGGACTCCAAGACTTCATGCACCTGCCAGGAGTTTAACTTTCTTATTGTATTTTCACTGATATGTTGAGCACGCAACTGATTATTATTTAATTCAGATGAAGCCAAAAAAAAATAAAATATTTCATCATTTCACATACATGTAAAGTTTTCATTCCTTTTACAGTAACTGTCTACGATAAACAACCAGGGAAATATTTGGTAAATGGCAGAGGAAATCTTGACCTGCAGACCTTGACATAATTGTAGACATACTGAAAATCTAAGGTCATGATTAAATGATGGTTTTTACCTTTGACAGAGTTCCAGATAATTTTTTGACACTGGGGGTAATTACCCCCACTTTTCAGAATGTGAGAGTAAATTTAGATATATCATAAATTTAAAGAGTACAATTAAATTACTTTATTTTTTTTGCTGCATCACAGGTTTATTACATTAAAATTAACACACCATTCTCTGATATTCAGGCTTCAGCGTGAATCACTTCAATTTTAAGGCTTTTACCATATTCTAAATTTTATTTTACATTGTTTACAACAAAAATCGGTGACAATACATAAACTATAACATTACAAATTATCACCTGTCAATTGCTGATTTCTGTATATTTATTGCACCTTCATTAGCCCATACATTGCCAGCTTTAAATTTATGACAAGTCAGACATTTCATTTGCACTTCAATAATTTGCAGCCACGGATAACTTTTTTAACAATTTTCAAGTGTTGTATTGCGATTCACAGTTATGTGAGCCCTTTTTACTTTAAATACAATATCTAAAATGTCTTCAACAATTGGGTTTACAATTGTTTTAGCAGGCAACTCAGTCGTGTTAAAAAAAATTGTCAATTTTCCTGTGCTTTGGCTTGGAAGCAGCCATGATGTAAGTCTTTATTAATAAACGCTTGCAATAATAAAGGAAATCAAGCATCCCATTTTAGGAAGCGCCTATGCGATAAAGACATAATTTGACTGGTTTACAGAATGAAAAATAGTTGGAAACATTTGGGCGGGTATTAAACGGAAAAAAGAAACACAGTCAAATGTTAAACGGAAACGGAATCAGCTGTTTCGAAAATGAAAGTACACACCAAAAACGCTTCGATTTTTTATTCTTTGCGTATTTAATTTATAGCATGCGTAAATTAACGCAAGAAATTTGAAATATGGTGCGTATTGAGTTGATTTTGAAGCGTAAAATACGCCGATACGCACGTTATCTGGAACTCTGCCTTTGAAACTGTTAAAAACATAACTGCCTTGTAAATAGTTATAAACAACTAACACTTAGGCTGCAGATGAGTGTTTGTGTGTGCATGTTTGCAGCATGTAAACATTAAATGGAATAAACTAATATGTATTTGAAATGTCTTTCCTACAATATGTAGTGTTTTTTCCAGAACTTTATTATTCTATCTTTGTGTTTTTTTTCAGAACTTTATTATTCTATCTTTGTGGGGGGGTTTTTTTCTGAACTTTATTATTCTATCTTTTGTTGTGTTTGTTAAACAGTAAGTACCATAGAAATATGAGGCACCGGTATAAGGCATTGTTCCTACTTTATTTTACTTTAAATTTACCTATTGTTATACTTATTTCAGGGTGTTTTGTACCTACTTGATGTAACAACCCATGGCTTTTTTTCACAGGTTGTGGAAGCAGCCCTGCCCTTAATTTTGGGGAAAAATTACACAGTATATTTGGAAAAGGGGCAGAAAAAACTTGATGTAAATTCACTTTTGGGGAAAACCGCATGATTTTTAATAATTTTTCTTTGAGGAAGCAGCCCTATTACAGCCCCTGCTATAGAAGGCAAAATAATTCAAGTCAAGATGGATATATAAGCATGATTGAACTTTAGAGCTGTTGTTGAATTGATTTAAAAATCCCAGAACATAGTTGACCCGAATCAGCGTCAGCTCGGCCCTAAAACTAACTCGGCCCTATACAAACTCAGCACAGGTCAGCTCAGCCCCCTTTTATAATATTACTGGTATATATACTTGTGTTACTTTTTCCTTTTATATTCCATAATGTTTGTTTCGCTATTACAATAGCCTTAGGTATTACAAGTTTTAATGCAGAAAAATTGTCAAGTAACACAATCAGAACAGATTAATCAGATGATAGTTATGATTAATTGTATTCACAAGCTAAAATTTTTGACCACCATTTAAGAAAATTATCAGGACATTTTAACACCTGAATATATCTATCACCAATTTACACCAGAACATGAATTAATCAATTCTGTTGAAAAAATGACAGGTTTTTTACCCCTTACCTTTGAAAACTGGGGGTAAAATAAAAATTCGGAGGGTACATAAATTTGTACAATAATTATATGAAAATAAAGGATAATTCCAAAACCATAAATCAGACAATTATGCTGTTTTCTTAAAGCTCTTCAAGATTCTCTCCACCCCCACCCCCTTTTAGGTAAAATTCATTGTGACCAACGTATACATGCTGGCATATATCTCCATCTCAGTTAAAGTATACATTATTTAAGTTATTTTAATTTATAAACAGCATATAAATTGTTACTACACACTTTTGAACAAAACAAAGCTTCCTTTTTGTTGATTTTTTAATTAATAAAATGGGCATCCCAAAAATATTTGACAAATGAAAATTTGTCTGATTTTCTGCAGAAACATTCACATATCCAGTTGTTGTAGATTACAATTATATAAGATATATTATTTTTTTAATATTTCAAGATTGTTTTTCATCGGCTATTCTTACAGGCATCATAAAACAAAATTTCAAATTTGTAGTTTACGACAATAATTCCCAGTGGGAGATCTGTAAACTTCATTGTGTATTGGGAAATTTTCTTGCATTTCATCACTTTCAAAGCAATTTAAGTGATTTTTGTTTAAGAAATTGTTCCCAAGAATGATATTTGAATTATACATTAAGTTTCCAATTTTCTGTGCGTATTTTTAAGCACTTGCCTAAATTTCAGTACATGAATTTTCAATTTTGACATCTATGCTTAAAATACGCACGTGTGAGTAAATGGGAACACTGATTATTTATTTCATCACATTTAAAGTATGCATAGTCAGGCATCTATATGTTTAGTCCAATAGATTAGACGTTACAGACTTGTTATAGTTTTATGTTGGTCAAGCCTGACGTCTAATAGTTATTGCTCATAAACGCGTAGCATTTTGAAAAATTAAAAAAATGTCTGTTGACTTGCCTTTCAAGCTTTATTCAAAAGCTTATCTTCTGTTCTTTCAATTGCATGGTCTATCATTAACAAAAACTTTCAAACAATGAAATTATCAATTAAAAATAAAATATAAATATCAGTCTATTTTGCTCATCGGCCATACTGGTTAAGTAAAGCGTTTTACAGATTGATTCCAATTTTTTGAACGGAAAAATATATTCGAACACACTGACGGTGCATGGGCAATTATTTCGTTGAAAAAATATTCCGTTAGAAACTTCTGGAATCATTTAAACGCTTGCATTTGAATTAGCCAATCAGATTTCGCGCACTGTATGGCGGCCATTTGTATATCGGCTGTACAAGGAATTTAATTAAATTTGAGGATTTAATCATGACTTTTCGGACGTGACAGTTCAATTATTTTGTTAAAAGGTATTCATTTTTTAGTTTTGTTCATAAATAGGTCAAAATTAATGGAAATACACGCTGTTTTAATTGTTTAAATTCATTAGATCTAAATCGATGTCTAATGTCAGTTTTTTTGCTACACGATTTTGCAAAGATCTGTTAAGACCTAACGTAACATGGAAAATGAAAAATATCAGATTAATAAGATTTTAATCTGGGACTAAAATTGTGTCATCTTTCTGTCCCAGTTTCACTGATCTTTGTTAACGTGCACATCCATATATTTTATATAATACTTCATTGTTTATTTAGGAGCGAATAGTGTAGAGCACGATTGATTTTGAGGACGAATATGAACCATTATTTTATTGCACCATTATTTTGATTTTTCGTACCTGCTGGTTCATTTGCTGCCATGTTTGAAGTTGTTCTTCACTTATATCTTGTTCTAGTTCATGGAAAGGATTACCAGAATTATGAGAAACAGCTGTACCAATCTCCTCATCGTGCTCCTCGCCAGTTTCCATTTTTCTTCGCGCGGTCCAACGGTTATATGCCGTTAAATTTCATAAATTCGGTTGAACACCACAACCTATTATTGTTCCCCTTAGTAATCTTTGTATGTATTGCAAATCCCGCCAGTCACAGATATATAATCGCCATGCGCCAGTCAACAATGTATAAAATAAAAGGAAAGATGTGAATTAAAACAAGCTTTAACCTGAATATTATATCTTTGTAAACAAACATTTGTACGTGAGCGGTTATTAATAATACATTTCAAAATCAAAAGTAATCATAATGTCTGTGGCATTGTTTCCTTTTATTTTCACTGCTCTGACCTTTAATTTCAATTGATGACAATATATTTAACCACAAACATAACAAATAGATATAGTGATGAAATTCTTATTGTAATGCACTAATCTGATTATTCAAAAATTCTTCCTTTGAAGGATCTATGGAAAACGGAAATGCCAGCTACGAACTGCCAGCATGGAAATAACAGAAAACGACGATGAGAGGTCATTCCAAAAACCAAACGCCGTGCGGGACAGGTGAGAATTAACAAAACAAAATTAACTCTTAATTTTTTAACTGTACGTACTGTAGTTTTTAATTACGGATTACATTTATGTTTATTTTATCAGTACTGAGTATACCGATGTCAGAGATGCAAGATGCAAAATCTATATGCAAGAAAGCAAGGTTACGCAAAGAACGATTAGAGTCCATCGCTAATTAAAGATGACTCTTGCAGGGTACAATGGGAGAGTTTCTAGATAATCCAGCAGAGTTATCTCTGCAGTGCCCCTGACAAATAAGAGGTATATACACCTGTATGCTGGCTAACTCTGTGTATAGCTGGTTTACATTGAATTTCAATGGGATAATGCATAGTATGTAATCAACTGATCTAATTAATAAGCTAAAGCTTATATTTCAAAGTAAACTGATTAACACTGCAGTCTTAGAAATGGCGAATTACTGTTGTGTTCCACTTTGTAATGGGTTTGGAGGGTTTCATTTTCCACAAGACAAAACATTAAAGAATAAATGGAGAGTAGCAGTAATGAAAATGAAGTTATGGTCACACACATTTGCCATGCCAATGATGATAAAATTGTCATAATCACCCCTTGATCATCAAGAACAAAATTACTATCCAGCACCCGTTTGCTATATAAGATATCTTTTATATAGTAATAGTAATTTTCTTGTTGCCTGTAGTCAGAGACAGGCGCATAGCATCAAAACTGATATATGTGGAATGGGTAATAGGATTTGCAAAGCAATTGAAAATTCTGAAATCAGAACTACCTGTAGTCAAAATATATTGACGTGCCAAAGCTTGATTCTGAGATATTTTCGTTCTAGGGCAGAATCTCGCTTATTCTAGCCTTATAAGTAGAGGCGAGATATTGCCCAGACACGAAAATAGCACAATATCTGGTCGAAGAGTACAATTAGTTGGACTAGCTTTTATACATGTAATAAAGTAAGTAAAACTGAGCTCATGGCCCGGTAGCAGAATGGGTTCTCCCTTAAAGTCTAAATTTCTGTCATACGTCTCCCATCTGTAAAAAATATATAACTAGATGAATTTTATTTACTAAAGAACAAATTTGAAGCAATAAACTCTTTATGATTATACATTGTATTTATTTGAAGCATCATAAATTTACAAATATACCAAAAGAGATTATATCAAACATATTGTATAATTCACTTTTATTAGTTCTACGTAAATAAAATCTATATAAATTTAGGCATAATATTTTAAAAATTTTAACTGGAAAGTGTGGCTTATTTCTCCAAGATCATTTTCATTCTGTTATTCAGTCTACATTGTCGACATTGTACAGTTGCAAAATAAAGCAGTTTATATGTTTAAGATTTAATGTAATATATTCAATTTGTTAAATATAATTACCTCAATATTAAATGATAAAATCTTCTTTTATTCCTGCTGCCGAAGCCCCTTTGGTAATTAATTATTTCTTTAATTTAACAACTGACCGATCAAAATACTCAGAAACTTTCTATTAATCTCTGTGTTTACATCAAGCGGCCGTATTTTGTATACCTTTTATTTACTACTTCCGCTTATCAGTAGAGTGTGGGGAAACTCCCTCATTTGGGAAAACTTGGAAACCAGCCATAGTTCTAAAAAAAAGAAGGGGAGAAATCATACAAAGTGCAAACTGAAGATGGCGCTATTTACCGCCATAATCGCCGCTTTATAAACAAAACGCGGGGAAAGTTCCCTATCAATACAGAGTCCTTCCCTAATATCCCCCACCAAGGCCAAGAGCCTCATAATAAAATCTCAAACAAAACACTTTTAAATAATAACTGCAAATCGGCTCTTACTCGGCAGTAATTAGTGTAGCCGCTTTTTCATGAAGAAACCAGTGCTGATAGTGAAAATTGTGATTGGCATATTTTAATTAGCCAGGTCAGGTGTTTCTAAAAAGGCTGATAACACTGTAGCAATGTGAGGAAACATTCAAATTTATTACATCGATAATGCATATGGAGCTCAGCTCGCAGAGACAAATGAGAACACAGTAACTTTTTGATATCCTTAACTCTAAGAAAAATGTCAATTATTAATTGCTGACTGTTTATATTTTCTAGAAAAAGTAAGTAAGCAAAACATTATTTTGTTTCATATGACAGGAATGAATTGCATTGACAATCCTAGGTATTGTTGAAAACTCATCGTTTTACATGCCAGATTAAGTAATTGGACCCCGGGCCATCCTTGTTTGTACGTGACTGCTGGGGAAAAATAATGTTATGCTTAATTAAAGAGGTGACACTTTCTATATTTTTATCTGATATCGAGTTGTAAGAGCCGATTTGCAGTTATATGGGTAAGAGTTCGATAAGACTCCCTACGGTCGTCTTAATACGAACTCTTACCCATACTTACAGGTATTTCCTAGAATATTCAAAATCCTATTAGCCATGAAGCAGTTCAGGCACAGGTTATCAGACGCGCAGTGGTCGAGTAGTAAACGTTAAAATACCGATGAATGGAGCATTGTTAATAAATCATCCGGAATTGATAGACATTATCTAAAGAAGATCTAAAGAAAAAAGAGAAAGGAAAGAACAGAAATAAAATAATACGAGTGATAAAAAAAAAATAATGTGACTTTAAGACTATTTAAATTATTATCTTCAGTATGTATACCTTGAATGTTTTATGATCCTATCATGTTTCAAGAATGTATAGTTTCTAGCTAGAAGACATTATTAAGAGAACATTTTAGATTTAACGAGAAACTAAGATTTTACTTTTTAGTGTAAAGAGATACATATAATTTTTAATAATAGTTAAAGACAAAAAATGGATTACATTAAAAAGGGGTTTTAATCAATTACAACTCACAATGAAAACACTTGTGTAAATTACTTTCATATCAAGGCTGGGACAAAAGGCATATCATGCCTCGGTGATTAATATTATTTTTCTTTCTTTTTTTCAGAAGGAGCAAAATAATGTTTAGTAATAATATTAATTGATTCAAAGCATTATTGAAGCTTATCATTCAATCTAGTAGGAAAAGAGCTGAATGTGAAAAAAAATGTAAAAAGGTACCAAAATGATACAAGCAAAAAGTAAATAAAGTTTTTAAAGTAAAATTCAAACAGGAAATATCTCTTGAAATAAGGATGCTAGAGTTATGAACCTTATCATGCATGATGTAAGTAATGACAAAGAACAATTATCTTAAGTCTAGAGTTGATGTCATTTATAATAACAAAGATAATTCTTAGAAATATATTAATTTTCGTTCAAAAATGATTAATTGGAGATAATTCTAGTAATACAAGGCTCTAGTTATAAATCTAATCGCACCTGATATAGTTGTTGATAAAAAAAAAGTATGCCGTCGAAGGGAGGCATATTAAAATCGCACCGTCTGTCTGTCTGGACGTCCGTCTGTTTGTCTGTGCGTCCACACTTCATTTGTGTCCGGACTGTAACTTTGTCATACATTGAGGGATTTTGAAATAACTTGGTACAAATGTCTACCACATCAGGACGATGTATCGCAGCTAAGGCTCATGTCTGTCTGTCTGTCCGTCTGTCCCCACTTACACAACAATCATGTCCAGTATGTAACTTTGTCATGCATTGAGGGATTTTGAAAAAAATTGGCAAAAATGTCTGTCTCATGACAACATTCTGTCGTGTCCAGGGAACTCGTTCCTTCTTCAAAGGTCAAGGTCACACTTATATTTTGAAGGTTCACGTACGCTATCACAATTAGAGATTATAGAAACAATAATACAAAGAACAATATTAAGGAATTAGTTAATTTCATTATCTTTTCTTTCCATAATACCTGCATGCTTAGTAAACCTTTTTTCAGGGGCATTCGTCACTTGTGTGACAGCTCTTGTTGAAGTCTGAATTTAATAAGGAAAATTCTGATCAAAAAGGGATGATGATTCTGAAAATATTGATGCTAGAGTTATGAAGCTTGCCATGTTATTGTTTAAAGTTAGAAGTAATTTTTTCTATAAATAAAGAAGAGCACAATATATCAATTTTTGTTTTAAAAAAAGTTTAAAGGGGGAAATAATCCTGGAAATATCCATGCTACAGTTATGAATCTTGTCACACATGATAAGGAAATATATTTGAAGTTAGAAGTAAATACATTAAGAAATAAAGAAGTAAGTAAAAAGTAACATTTTTGAGAGAAAATAAATAAGTTCATGGGGAGATAATTCTGGAAAAATTGGTGCTCGAGTTAAAAAAAAACATTGTCACAGATGATGTAGTTGATGATAAGGAACACAATCCTTTAATATAAAATGAAGATGTGTAAAATATAACATTATTTTAAGTTCAAGGGGATATAGTTTTGGAAATACTCAGGTTTTAGAGTTTTGCACTTTATCAAATGATGTGGATGATGATAAGGAATATATATTTCAAATTGATAAAAAGGTTATAGGCACATAAACATTAATTTAAAGTATGGACGCTGACGTCGACTTGCAAATCGAGGTGAGTAGGACAACTCATCGTATTCTTAGTATAGTCGAGCTTATAATAAAAAAATATCACTTACCTGGTCATTTTAGTTATGAGTCTTGCATCTTTGAACAGTTTTTTGTTTTTGATTTTAAGCGGGGGGGGGGGGTTCAGTCAGTAACATGAGTAACAGCTAGTGACACTTAACTATTGAACTTTATTTATTATGAATTTAAAAATTTATTGTGTGTTATAAAGTATATTTACAAATAATTGCTAAGTTTCACAATTCAATTGGACCGCATACCCATTTACAAAAGAAAGGAGAAAAAAATCATTGATAAATTTAGTGAGTGTATCTTCTACAGAAATTTGATCCTTCAAGGTTGGGGTCATTAGATAAGAATACAGAGGGCCAATTAATAATGACAAAACTCTCAGCTCAGTGGACGTGTTAATGGGAGACAGTGATTTACTAGCTGATAAGCCCTTACTGAGATTAAGCATGCTGGAAGGGTTTATGCGTAGGACTGAGTAAATATCTAGGAGTTCAAAGGATAAATTTATAGTCCAACTAATTGTACTGCGCGACGAGCTATTGTGCTATTTTCGTGTCTGGGTAATATCTTGCCTCTACAAAAAAAGCGAGATTCTGAATATCTCAGCACGGCAATATATTTTGACTAGATAAATTTATATCTTGTGCTGAACACTAGCCGTGTTTTATTTTACTTCATTGTATCAACGCACTTGATTTAATTTCTATTAATTATTGTTCATTAATAACATAGATAACATCTATGTCTCTGCCGATTTACATAATGTTGATACTGAAATAGAGCTAGGATATTGAATTAGTGTAAGAATAAAATTATATTATGCGAGCCTCTGGATAGCGTAATATTATTTTATTAAACAAGTTCAATAAACTCGGTAATGAACTTACACGAATTTATTTTTTCTATTAATCACATATCAAAATTAAAGACCGTTTGAAGTGAAAAAAGACCATGTCCCGTTGACGCGTATTTTCCGTATATTCACTTAGTGAATAAAAAAGTTTACATGAACTAGTCTGGGAAAAGTATCTAAAAATGATTTTGAATTGCAGGTCGTATGTTGATAGGTCGTCCCTCCTTTAAAAGGAAACATTTTTAATACATGTGAATATGAAAATCACGATAACAATGTAATTGATACAATATTTCGTACTTATCATTTGTATTTAAATAATATCAATTAATTAATAAATTACTTTCATCTAAATTGTATCATGTTTACTTTGTACCTTCCTACTGTTCAATAATAGTAGGCCCTATACTTTTTCTTTTAAACATTTTGTTTTCTTTCCATTCCCAGGAACCTCCGTCCTATGTCTACGGTCTGGAGTTACTCCGTCCGTAACAAAGCAGCTAAGTGCCCAGCTAGTGTTACTCAGACACAAGAAGCGTTCCATAAATGTAATCTTGTATTATCAGAGAAGGGCCCAGAATAATGTTGTTAGAACTTTTGGCCATAACCTTTTGTATGTACTCTTGATAATGTTTGTAAAATTGTGAAATTATATATTGTGTGTATATTTATACAATAAAATATTATTAAACTTATCTACTATTTGTATATTTGTAGGATGGCGTTGTCGTCTGAATATAAGAGCTGGTGTGTCGCTGTCCTTCATGTACAATTTACTTAAGTTGTTGCATAAAGAAGCGATAATCGTGGAAAGCCAAGTGAGTCTTGTATCAGAAACGGAGCTTCGGTGATTGCAACAAACTACCTACCGATCAATGCAGTCGCAGATATTCAAAGCTTGGGACGGCCTGGTAAATATGATTTTCTTTTTGTGTCTGATACATATAAAGTAATATATATCAACAGATAGGCTAATATAATGATGATTGATAGATAATTGTTCGTGTGATACAATATAAATTTGTTTCATATTAATTTCTAATTTGTATAATATCATGAATATATAGTATAACTGTTGAAACTTATTATATACTTTTGCCAAATGTTTCTGCTTACAGCTATCGTGAGAAACAGCTTTCCGCAACGGCACTGTCGAAAGAAAAGTCTAGCCTATACCAACGGAGGGTATTGAGAAAAGAAGCTGGATAAATTAAAGTGTTAAGAAGTGACAGTCATTAATACTTCGTGTAAAAGACTACTCATATATAAAAGTTACACTGTGATTCATTCATTGTTTTACTCGGACAATAAATTGATTGATCATTATATGTTTCTGTTCTTCTTTTTCTTTGTAATCCATGGAATGTCAATGCGTCTGCCACTCAAAGCCATTGGTAATTATCAATATGAAATGCAACATTTATAAATATTTATTATGATGATAATAATAAAAAGATGGGGCCGATCAGACTTGAGGCCGATTTGACTCTCTTGGGGCCGATATGAAATGGTGCCGATTTGACTGTAATTCCACGTTAAGGTCATATAGGGTCTATCCATTGGAACAAAGTGATTGTAAGCTTATATAAAGACCTAACACTTAAAAGATACTTGTAAAGGGGGACTGTAACCAACCCAAACCAACCCAATATATATATAATGCCCACGCGACATTACCATGGGTATCCCCTGCAAAGATATCATGTTTATATTGAAAATTCTAGTATAAATGTCACTTGATAGTTTCATATATTTTTGACTTTGGAGAAGATGTAAAAGGACTTCAAAATGTGAGAATAATTTGTTAACTTAATCAATATTTAACATACTGAATCCGAATTTAAGGAACAAAGAACATTGTCAAACCTATGAAAATATCAAGGGTTGAAATTATATATATGGGCAATGTATGCGAATAAAGCATGCATGCATGTAACTAGAAACTTCAGCTAACAGTTAATTTATGCACTTTTCTAGGAACATAGGCTCCACACTGCATTAAATAATGTATATACATTATAAAGCATAATCTGTATATCCAACAATTGTGATATAGCACATACACAAATTTATCATCGTGGACAAATGTCTAAAATTAAGCTTCCTATGTGGCTAGACAAATGTTCAATGACGCATTTTAAAATCTTGGGGCAATTTTATATCTTCTTATCAAAATGAAGTGTGCATTTTTAAAAAAAGACAACATTCATGTGAATCATTAATGTTAGCATGTTTAGTGATGCTTTAGGGTCTTGTGCACGCTCAGCGAACATAAATCTAAAAAAACATCATCTTTACTTCTATAGTATCTCAATTGACTTATCCTGTCACATACTATAGTGAATATTGTTACAACTAAATTGCAAGAAAAATTTGTTTTAAACTGGCTCGAATCTTTGAATAGTGTCACAGGTCCTTCTGGTCGTGGTGGCAATAAGTTGCGTACATATCGACTGTTTAAAACAGAATATGAGACAGAATTATATTGTAAACTCATTATGCCTCCTTGTCATCGCACTGCATTTAGCAAGTTTCGTTGTGGTGTTGCGCCTTTACGCATAGAAACTGGGCGTTACGAAGGCTTAGATGTATTGGAACGAAAATGCCAGTTCTGTGACAGTATTGAAGACGAAAGCCATGTCATTCTTGATTGCTTTGTGTTCGATGACTTGCGACAATCATTATTTGATAAGGCTAAAACAGTATATAGTGCATTTTTACAAATGTCAAAAAATGAACAATTAATATTTCTGTTCACTAAAACTGAAATGATACGTTATTGTGCCAAAACCTGTTTTAACATTCTACAACGTCGTCTTTTATTCTCTTGTAAATAATGCCATTATATTTGATTTAAACATGATAATGTATTTTACCTAGGTTAAGGTAATCCTTGCTAATCAGGTCATGCAAGATCTTATCTTGGATGATAATCGATCTTTTAAAACGTTTTTATAGGCGCGATAGGGCTCCGATTTACAATTCTCAATTTCTTAGCAGTTTTTATTTTTCGATTAGCGATGGTTACCTTACTTTTAATATTTTGTTTAAATACATTGTAATTTTACTATTTGATTTTAGTCTTAGACTAACTGTATAGGTCTTGAATATGTTTATCATTGATATAATGTCTCTTAAAATTCTTAAATAGAATGGTCGTATGCAGATTTTATGTGAATATGTGTAAATATGTATAAAAATGTATGTATACGAATGAGACAAAAATAAAGTATGAATATATATGATAGATAGATGCGTAGAGCCCCTTTGTATTAAAGAGATCGTGTTGATATATTCACGGACACTTGCATGCATATATCAAAAATATACTAAGGTGTAGAATATAAAACTTTGTAGAGCACACGGATAAATGGATATGCCCATGGCATAACATGGTGTCAGAACTGTATAAAGGCCTTATGTTCGTATGCAACATTGCCAGGTACCTTACGTTGGATAATTAAGGTTGTTATTTGGGAAAGTTAGCTCACCCGTCGGGAATCTAATTTTCAAGAAGTGCAGGTCGCACAGGGAATTTGTATGGGTAAGAGTTCGTATTAAGACGACCGTAGGGAGTCTTATCGAACTCTTACCCATATAACTGCAAATCGGCTCTTACAACTCGATAAAAGATAAAAATATAGAAAGTGTCACCTCTTTAATTAAACATAACATTATGTTTCCCCAGCAGTCACGTACAAACAAGGATGGGGGTCCAATTACTTAATCTGGCATGTAAAACAATGAGTTTTCAACAATACCTAGGATTGTTAATGCAATTCATTCCTGTCATATGAAACAACATAATGTTTTGCTCACTTTTTCTAGAAAATATAAACAGTCAGCAATTAATAATTGACATTTTTCTTAGAGTTAAAAGGATATCAAAAAGTTACTGTGTACTCATTTGTCTCTGCGAGCTGAGCTCCACGTGCATTATCTATGTAATAAAAATGAATGTATCCTCACATTGCTACAGTGTTATCAGCCTTTTTAGAAACACCTGACCTGGCTAATTAAAATATGCCAATCACAATTTTCACTATCAGCACTGGTTTCTTCATGAAAAAGTGGCTACACTAATTACTGCCGAGTAAGAGCCGATTTGCAGTTATTAGTTGATATTGAGACTAGCAGACAGGTAAACAGCGAAGTCCTGCTTAAGGCGCACTGTACAATAACTATTTGATATGAACTCACTGAGCTACGTGTATAGTTTTTATAGCCTTATTGACCAAAATGTAGAAGTCAAATTTTGGGGGGAAAATTGTGAAATTGATAACGTTATACATATTTGAAGAGTAGATCATTGTCATTTTAAGCAAAGAAGAATCGAGCGAAGACTGAACTGTCCAATAAATGTTAGAACTTTAAACAGTCACGTGTCGATAAAACTCAAAAGTGGCGAACTTAACGTTTAGAAAAAATGTATGTGTCGTGAATAGATTTGCTCCCATGGTCAGACTAGATCAAACCGAGTTTGCAACTTTCTTTTTCGTTGCACTCGATGGACGTTCCCTTTTTAAGGTGTTTATATATCAACACAACGGCAGGTGTCTATTGCTGACATGCAGCGCTTCACTTCTATATAATGTTATAAATTTTATATATTTTTCTGGTCCTTCGGGGGGATCATTGATTCCAATGTACAATATTGTGTTTAACATTGCTAGCTAGTGCTGGGGCATGATGCAGGGATGTTGCAGCGTTCATGATCTCTCTTGAACAAACCGAATCTACAATTTTCACTTTTTAACTTTGTAAGTTTTCTTTTGCTTGCGAGATATCTATCCTTTTTCAGATTTTTTTTCCCAAAAATAACTTTGTGTCAGCTTTATACAATATTGATTTGAATATATTTGATAAGAACTATCAAACAATCGACAGTATTTACAACTTTAGTTTAAACATATTTTATTGCATTTAATACATGTTTACAAATATATCATACAAATAATGAGTATATATCAAAATGCAAATGTGTTGGGCAACAAGTTCTTACAACATTAGATTAAGCCCTTCCCCAGAAAGACAACTTTAACAATGATATGAAATGTATAAGTGATGCACATATATATGGTTTTATTTATAAACAAAAATATGTTATTTATGAAAATATTGAACAATGGAGGTAAGATAAGATAAGATAAGTTTTATTCCAAGTCGGCAACTTTACAACAGTACAAAGGTCAGTTTGATTCTGTTCATGGGAGACACTGAAAGGTGCAACAGCTGCAAAATGTTTTGGCAAATGCATGTACTGATAAGTCATGTATGCTGTTACCTTGTCTAATAGAATATTTTGTTTGTTATACAATTTAACGCAAATTACAATGGCAGCAACATATTTATTAGATCTTTCTACATGTACGACCCTCAGTCGATATCTGTCTTTAAAAAGTTTTTTTTTCACCTAGATCTTTCAAAAAGGAACATAATAGGTAGTTATTTAATGTTTGAGACACGGGGGGGGGGGGGCGTCCACTCTTTCCTGAATTCCATGGTACGGTGTGAGACGGGATATAGTTGAGTTGTTCAACAAATTCGAAAAACTTTTTATTTTAATAATATATCTCGCTATATTCCAAATGACATAGGCAGCAATGGTAAATTTTCATTATATACATGTTGAAACTGATATATAAACCTGTTGTTTCTTTTACAATATGTACCAATGGTTTACTGATACATCCTAATTTTGCTTTAATTTCGGACAAGCATAAATTTGGATATAAAATTTCATCATGTATGTTTACTAGTATTACGAATTTAACATTCATGAAAAAGAGGTAACAAAATGATATTAAAGAGAGGGGATATATCGTCGGGTGTCCTAAATTCGTCCCTGTCCTAGAGTCAACACCCTTACTGTGTAGGCCTATGTCATAGGTGTTCGGCGCGTTGATTGGTCACTACCCCCGCACCCCTCACCCCCACACCCACTCTACAGCCCTCCTACCTCTCAAAACCATGTAAAATGCAGTATTTTTCATTTGAAACATGTTTTAATATTTGGTTTATGCTTTTAATTCAATAACCTTCATTTCCTACAAAAAATAAAAAAATTGATACTTATATATATAGTAAAGGTATGCAACTCGCCGCTCAATTTTCAGCACTCGTCTTAATATGAACTCCTAACTTCAACATTCTTCACCAATTTTCAATATTTTGGTACCAAATGGTAGGGAATTGATTACTCTTGAAGGAAATAAAGCTGTCATTACGATCATTTCAAGTTATCAGAAGATGTGTAATCTCAAACTCACCGCAAGTGTAACTCGACAGTGATCTGACCGCTGGGTTTTCTTCAAAATTACCCGACTAAACGGCAGTTTATTCGAAATGAATGAATATTTCATTGTATTGCGCATATATTATGATCAAATTATATTATTATTTGTAATAACTGTTCAATCAAAACATCTTATAAAACTATAACAAACCTTTTTTCCTATATGTTAAATTCCAAATTATAATGCAAGTAATAGTTCTACAGAGTGCTCTCCTCTTAATTTTTTGTACGGAGTATTTTCATTGGTCTAAGGTTTTCACACGACCAATGAAAATACTCCATATGAATGCTTCCGTTTATACATGATTGTGTACTTTCATTTTGGATTGGAGAATTTGGCATATCGGAAAAAAGGTTTGTTATAGTTTTATAAGATGTTTTGATTGAACAGTTATTACAAATAATAATATAATTTGATCATATTTATATGTGCAATACAATGAAATATTCATTCATTTCGAATAAACTGCCGTTTAGTCGGGTAATTTTGAAGAAAACCCAGCGGTCAGATCACTGCCGAGTTACACTTGCGGTGAGTTTGAGATTACACATCTTCTGATAACTTGAAATGATCGTAATGACAGCTTTATTTCCTTCAAGAGTAATCAATTCCCTACCATTTGGTACCAAAATATTGAAAATTGGTGAAAAAATGTTGAAGTTATGGAGTTCATATTAAGATGAGTGCTGAAAATTGAGCGGCGAGTTGCATACCTTTACTAAATATAGATGTATCAATTTTTTATTTTTTGTAGGAAATGAATGTTATTGAATTCAAAGCATAAACTAAATATTAAAACATGTTTCAAATAAAAAATACTGTATTTTACATGGTTTTGAGAGGTAGGAGGGCTGTAGAGTGAGTGTGGGGGTGAGGGGGGGGGTGCGGGGGTAGTGACCAATCAACGCGCCGAACACCTATGGCCTATGTCAGAAAGTCTCAACAAATGTCAGTTAATAAAGAAAACAGTTAAATATATCACGGATTTATATTACAGGGATCGGACAGTCCCAGTTAACCCTAAGTAAATGCTTAAATATCTTGTCGTGCACCCGATAAAGGTACATCGATCGATAATATACCGGCGCTAAGCGTAAATGCCCGTTCGCAACGGATACCTACTTAACAAAATACCATATAGCTTTTTTATTTATTATCCGATTTTGGAAATTTAAAGTTTATTTTGAAGAAAAATACTTGTTTAATTCAAATATCTAATTTATTTTTTAAAAGTACAGTTTATCTGTCGGCAACGACGATTAAAAAATTAACTTGACGAAATCCGCGGTAAATTTACATTTTTTATATAAAAGGCAGGTATTTGAAATTTATTAGCACGGTACCATAATAATTTCAATTTCAAAATAAAAAAGAAGCCGATGTAAGTTATTCACAGATGATTAAAGATGAAATATTTAAGATTTATTTGGTTATGTAGTCAAATTTATTAACGCACAATTGTTTTACGGGTAATGTATTGCTGCCTTTACAATTCGCTCAACACGTGAAGAAAATTTATTCATTTTTTTTAGTACAAAATATTGCTGAGATTGTAAATATTGCCATATTCATAGAATATTCAAATTTCATTCATCATTTATATCATTATTATTTTTTGTAAATCTGTTTTCAAATGTCGGTGCAGTGAAGTAGACAATCATCGTAACAGTTAAGTGTGGCTGTCTCGATTCCGGCCTTTTTAATGTCACTCGTATATTTCAATCCGTATATTTTAATTATTCTTTTTATTTGAATGCCTGTAGAAAGATATTAATGATACTTTTTAATGTTACGCTAGAAAAACAATAAAAATCTTTTCAGTTTGAGTCAGGATTTTGCGAAATAAAAGTAACTTTTGATTATTTTTTACACATCGCTTAAATTTCTTTCAAGTTCAAGTTAAATTACTTTTGAAGGGGGGTACAAGTAACCAGTGACCAGGTAACAAGTGATAATTGAAAAATTTTATTTTCAAACTTTCATTACCAGGTTACATGTGATAATTGCAACGCTCAATCTTCAAAAACAAATAGAATTTTGTATGTGCGCGGTCTTTAACTACAGTCTATGGCATGTGTGGTAAGAAAATGATTCTGAAGAGGATATATATAAATACAATGTAAATCTATTTTCTTTATTAACATTTATAAATGAAATTGAAAATAAACAACTCAATTTGTATAGTCCTTTCTTTGAAAAATAATGAAAATAAACATATGACAAATAAATCATTTGACGTGAATTGTGAAGGATAACTATTAAAAAAATCTGTTTCAAAATAAAAAATAATATTATAAAACAGCTGTTCTATATGCCAATAAAAGTTTCTTCCTTGCCAATCTAATGAATTCATCTATATATGAACGCTTGTCTAGAATGATCTGAAAATATATTTAATACACTAATAAGTAGAATATTTACTATATTTATACTAATATACAGGTAATTCAAATAAAAAATGTACAAATCATTTGAAAATAATTCACAGAAATAAAGACACATTTCAAACATGAATTTCTTTAAAAGTATTTTAGCAATCAAGAAACAATTTTTTGCAATGCCACCATTAAACCATGTAAAAAATAATTATCTTAATCTGAATCGCGGTAATAATTTATGCTTTAAGTAAAAGGGCGTCAAAATGTAGAGAGTATGCCTGCCTAAACAATTGACGAATATTTTTTAAATAGGTACTTTTTAACTAAGCGTTGCAGCGTTCTATCGGCATATTTTCATATATTAATACTTTAGCGACATAAAATAATACTGTATCAATACATTCATATGTGTATAATTTTTCACAAAGCTGCAATAACACCACATACTCTAGTGAAAATCTGTCATATTTCGCACACCGAGCGTTCCACCATCTCATTCTGTTCACCTTTATCCGATTCCGCGCATGCGCGCGACGAGACTTTAAGCTAAACGAAAGTGTCCGATCCTTGTAATAAAAATCCGTGAATATATTTATACATCAAAGTAAATTTAATGTATCCGCAAAATTTCTTTATCATAGAACTCTTGAATCATAAGGAAATATAGTGTATCAAACTAGCACTATAAAATGCTTAGGGTAACAGTGATTTTACTACTTATATAACAGACTCCAAAATCAAAAGGCTAAGGCCTCTATCTAATAAAGTGAGAAATAACACTGACGGGAACGAATCATGGCCACCCGAGGATACACTCTAGTTTAGACTGCAGGAACGCCTCCTGATTTCTTAATATATTTTGAGCAAAAATGATACACAAAATTCAAGCGCATGTTTAATTCAAGTTGTGGTCCAAGTTACTAATTATTTTTTATACTGTTTCATACAATTTCGAATCTTTTCGGCCCCAAGACGTTTCAGCCCTAAATTGCCCAAACATTTCCGCCCAAATCGGTGCCATTATAGTTCAGAATAAGTCTTTGCTCTGTTAAAGTTTCATCTAAATTCCATAGGCTTTATTCATTTTTAGCTCATATGTTTCAAAGAAAAAGTCAAACTATTATGATGTTGTTTTTTTTCAAAGGAAAAGTTGAGCTTTTATGATTTCTGTGGCATTGTTGTTGTTGAACTTGTGCAGAAACTTCCATGTAACCCATTTTTCAAACATAGTAAAGCTATCAAAAAGATACTTCTTTATCATGACATGGTGTAGTTGTTAGACAAGTGAAAGAATTCTTTAAAAAATGTTTTTTGGAGTTATGCCTCTGTAGTAGGGCAGGTTGTTTCCCTTTGTAAATAAATGTTCTGATTTTTGACACTTACTGAATTAGGTTATAAATTGTTATTTCCCTTTCCTTTTTAGTACATGAAATTATAGTTTGTTGCATTTTATAAAATAGTTTATACACAGAATATCGAGTACATTATTAGCAATTAAAATTGTCAAGATAAAGATCTCAGGTATAAAACTTTAATAATTTTGCTTTTGGTAATTATTCTGAATTTATATTTATGAAGCTAAATGTTTAAAATAATAAGTTTATATATTGGTTGTTTGGAAATAATAATTACTTTGGATTATAAGGTCATATTTTATTGGGGTCATTGGTAGCAAAGGTTACAAAGCCAAGTTACTGCCCCTTCCCCTATCTTAATTTATTAGGTATTTTTTTTATTAAAAGTTAAAGTAAATTATTAAGTATTTCTTTATTACAGTAAAAGTACATTATATCTCTTTTCCATTTTTCTGCATTGAAAGTTCTTTAAATTAAATTTGGTAGTTATTATAGAATTTAATGTCTATCAGACAGTAGTTTATATGTTTGAATAAAGAACATTGTCATATGTATATAATTCTGTATTAAAAATCAGAACTGGAAACTTGGTGTTTTTGTCATTTCCTGCAGTAAATATTCGGAATTAAAGGGATGAGGAGAGACCAAGCTTCAGGCTATATAAATCAGTAGCAAGAAAAAAGGAGAGGAACTTGCGAAGCCAGGTTGTGATATTTTTGCAACCTGTTGCCTCGGAAGTAGCCCTCTCCTGCTACACCTCTTTGGAACTAAGAATTTTAAATAATTCTTAGCAGACAAGCATTATCTTAATTCTCTAGGTTTAATTGGTTTTGCTTGATTATGTACTCTTTACAAGTGTCTCTAGAATTTTGTAGAAGTCATTTTGCATGAGTGCTCATTCTTTTGGCCATTATGCAGACTACAATGTACTTGTGAGTTCAAAACCTATTACTCTGGCATGGATTTTAAATGAAATGTGGCCCTTTGTAAAACTATATCTACATGTATATCATGTGTTTTAATCTTCCTCTTAATTCCAACAATATCAAGGCTTTTGTTTGACTATCAAGCTATAAGAAAATTCAAGTACTTTTTATGATTTAGATAAGATAAGTTTTATTTCAAGTCTGCAAGTTTTCAATACAACATAAGCCTACTGACAGCTCTTGCAGGGATTCCAAATACAATGTACTTAAGGTACTCTCCTACTGTCACATGCAACTTGCAAATAACAAATTCATAGCTGATATGTATTTTTCTGACATTTGTAAAGGTTGACAGTTTATTGCTTTTCTTTTACAGAGTAGGAAACAAAGTAAATTGACAAGCTTATGGGCAGATGATGATGATGATGACTGTATTATTTTAGATCCTCTTCCAGTAACCTGTTCCTCAACCAGAAAGACAGATAAACCAGTGGTTAAAGTGTCCAGTACAAAAGTTAGTGAATATTCTTAACTACATGTATTTGCCAACCCATCTTACATACAGTTTTTGTATTAATCACTAATTTATTTTTACCTAACTTTCATTAGAGTGTATTGTTTTTGGGTTTTAAATCCAGACTTTAATATTGTATTCTTTCTTTAAAGTTGCATGACTTTTTTGTTTTACATATATTTTACCTATATCCTGTAGTTACTGATTGATCATTAGTTATTTAGTTACATTTTGATTTTTTCACTAAGAAAAGTATGAATTGAGTGTGGTGGGGGAAGGGCGGGTTACAAAAACGTTAAAGCAAATGGGAATAAGAAACGTAAATGTTATTTGAAAAAATCATAATAGTAACAATATTTCCTTTGGGAAAATTGCCAGGAAAATGTATTGTGCTAATCATTTACTAGCATTACTGTACTTACTTTGACAATTTCAAACAAACTTTGTTTGAGCAGAAAGCCACTCAATGGGTTTCATCAGCATTTGATGGGTTTGATGACTTTTCTGATGTGAAGTCAAAACCACCAAGACATTCAAGCAATATCAGGGCTGACAAGACCTCAAGTTTGAAAAGACCTCACCAATCTATATCTAATGGACATGAAGGAATTCCTCCACAGAAATTAGTTACACGGAGGGCTAATTCTGGGCCTGACATTACACTGTGGTCAGATAAATATGCTCCAACAAACCAGGTATTAAGAATTACATTATAAAATTGCAAGAATTTTTTTTTTATTGAAAAAAAAGTTTCGAATTTGCATTATCTTTGAATATGGATGTAATATTGATTCATACAACAAATGGATACTGGAGCTGTATTTTCTTTTAGAGTTATCATAGATAGAAAGGATATTGATGTATTGTCAATATTTTTCTGTCGATTGCTAATCAATACTGATTGAAAAAATGATAAATTTGACTTATTAATGAAATGTCTAGAAATTAAAATTCATCTAGGTAAAGTTCATCTAAAAGGTGTACAGAAGCAAGTATCAAAAGGACATCTTGTCAGTATGTAATGGACATATTTTATGGCATTTGACAAATATTATAAAAAATCATGCACATAATAATTGTATGCACTGAAATAATGAAAACAGACATAAAAGAGAAATATAAGTAAGTAATACTCAGTACTGTAGGTCAGTGTATAGCCAATACAGGTCATCAAATATTGATATATTGTTGATATGCTTTAGACTGAACCAATAACACAAAACAAAGATTTATTTCAACCACTGGTTTTTAAAGTGTATAAGCCATATATAAGGCTATATACCTGCTGCAAAAGTGATTGATTATATTATAAGAGCTGATTATGTTACAAGAGCAATTGGCACATGCACAAAATCATTGCTATAATGGGCAAATATAATTTGACTTAATTTTTGCAGGGAGATTTGGCTGTACATAAGAAGAAGATAGCAGATGTGGAACAATGGATAAGTGGACATATACAGAAGAAAAAGGTGCACATTTTTCATACTTGATAAAATATATGAATACAAAGTTTGACTGTTTATACACATTTCAAGTCTGACTTATTTCCCTGTTTCATAATTGGTATAAGATGCATTTTAATGAGTGTGAAGGAACAGAACTTGTGGCACAATTGTTGAGCAATTGTTGAGCAAACTTACTTGCTCTGGGGTGTTGCTGTAACTCTTTGTTCAGTGGTTGCATAATATTTCATTTCTCAAGTACCATGCTTAATATCTTAAATAGACATGTCCATCTTTAAACCTGGACAAAACCATCAATCAGTTTTAGGGAAAATTTCAAAATATGTACTGACTGAAAAGTGAATAGATGTGCTGGCTAATCTTTGTCTGCACTAGAAGCATGAGTAGGTTAAGGGTTGAAACTTGCATTTTTTTATCACAAAATTTGGCATGGATTAACACTAAATTTTGAACCTTGAAATTTTTGGTTGTTAAGATCTTACTTGCAAAATTTTGTCTTATTAATGACATGAAACTTCAAACTTGTTTCATGGCCATTATTGTAGATAACTCACCAAGTCCATAATTCTAGAGTGAATTATACACTTGTGAGTTAACTCAATATCTTCTTAAAGAATTTATCTCCGTAATGAATCACAATACAGGGGCTGATAGTTGGATAATTGACCAACACATGTAACTTAAATCCCCTTTTTTGAGCTTAGAAAATTCTTGGGGAATGGGGTTGTGTGCAAGTTTTATCTTTATAATTCTTGCAGGTATTGTCTTTTACATTTACGGTACTAATGCCTGTTTGTAAACTATACTTCTAACATAAGGAGCTGGGGATTTTTTGACAGCTTTCATTTTACATGTGTTTAAAATCCAAATTAATGTTTTGCACTGTTATTTGTAGTGACAGTTTGAATTTGTTTCCTTAATATTACTTCATGGCACAAAATTTTATGATTTGTGCACATTGATGTTTGAATTTTTATCAAAAATATATTTTATATAATTATCTCTAATTCACATGTTTTTTTTTTAGGATAAAGAATTATAAAGTCATTGTTTTCACGTCGAAATATCTCATAGATAAATGTTTATTATGCTTTCTAATTCAGTTACCCCCAATATTGTTATTGACTGGACCAGCAGGTGTTGGTAAAACTGCCACAGTTAAGGTGCTAGCCAAGGAGCTTCGGTGTGAGCTACATGAATGGTCAAATCCTCTAGCTGATGATTATAGTGAAGGATTCTCTACAAGCAGTGACTGGAAATCTAGTATGATTTAGTACTGCTACAATTCATTAAAATAATTGTTATATTTCAAAACCAGTTTTCTTGAGAATATAACAGATTTTATCAAGATTTGTTCATTTTATTACTCATTGGTTTTTATGCCACCGCAGCATCTGCGATGTGGTGGCATATAGCGATTCACCTGTGTGTTTGTGTGTGTGTGTGTGTTATATAGATTATATAGTGAACTTAAAAAATCTTCTTGTGAAAAACCACTAGTCCAATTTCAACCAAACTTTGCAGGATTGATCCTTGGGTGAAGGGCTTCCAAAGTTGTTCAAAGAATTTCATTCCATGCAGAAATCTGGTTGCCATGGCAACCAAAAGGAATTATAAGAATAAATTAAAAAAATCTTCTTATAAAGACCCAAAAAACCTAGAGCTTAGATATTTTGCATAAGGCATTGTCTGGTAGACCTCTATCAAGATTGTTCAAATTATAGCCCTGGGGTCAAAATCAGCCTGCCCTGGGGGTCATTGATTTTCACTATATGTACCTATAGTAAAAACTTAAAATACCTTCTTGTAAAGACCTAAAACGCCTAGAGCTTAGATATTTTGCATAAGGCATTGTCTGGTAGACCCTTAATAAGATTGTTCAAATTATAGCCCTGGGGTCCAAATCGGCCCCGCCCCCGGGGTCATTGATTTTCACTATATGTACATATAGTAAAAACTTAAAATACCTTCTTGTAAAGACCTAAAACGCCTAGAGCTTAGATATTTTGCATAAGGCATTGTCTGGTAGACCCTTAATGAATTATAGTAAAAAGTTAAAAAAAATATCTTCTAGCAATTGACAAATGCTAGAGGTAAGATATTTTGCATGAAACATTGTGAAGTGAACTTCTAGCAAGACTGTTCAAATTACAGCCCTGGGGTAAAAATTGCCCCCGCCCCGGGGGTCATTGATTTTCACTATATGTACATATAGTAAAAAATCAAAAAATCTTTCTGTCTGAAGGTACAAGGCTTAGAGCTTTAATATTTGTTAAATGATATCATCTATAGGTACTCTAACAAAGTTGTTCAAATTTTGCCTCTAGTGTCAAAATTAGCCCCGCCCGGGGGCCATAGGTTTTCCTTATATGTATATAGTAAAAACTTAAAAAATCATCTTCTCTAAATTTACAAAGGCTAGAGTTAAGATATTTTGCATGAAACATTATGTAGTGAACCTCTAGCAAGATTGTACAAATTATAGCCCTGGGGTCAAAATTGGCCCCACCCCCAGGGGTCATTTACTATGTACATATAGTATAAAAGGTACAAGGCTTAGAGCTTTGATATTTGGTATGTAATATCATCTATGGGTCCTCTACTAAAGTTGTTTTAATTATGCCCCTAGTGTTAAAATTGCCCTGACTCAGAGGCGATAGTTTTCCTTATATGTATAATGTAAAAACTTGAAAAATCTTCAATCTCTTGACCTAGATTTTGACAAAGTGTCTTACTGTGTTGTCCTTTGATGTAATCATGAAAAAAAATCTGTTCCTACACTACTATTTAGTGTTGTATTAATGCGGTAGCATAGCATTTTTCTCAAATGCAATCTTGTTTATAGATGGTTTATAATTCTTTTGGGAGTTGAAACTGTAGATTTCTATTCTAAGAATATGTCAGTTCATACATTTGATACATACAAAAAATCAATCTGTACAAAACAGTGCAGGATTGGAATAGTCTGGAATGAGGGTTGTGCAAGCATCTGTGATAATTCATTGAAGAAGCCCTCAAATGTTGGTGACTGAATGACCAGATATTTTACACAGAACTATGACAATATTGGCTTTACAATGTGTTTTTGTTTCAGATTCAAAAATGTATAATCCCATTCAAACTCTTGTATCATTAATTAAGCATTTGTCGGGTTCAATTCTTAATGTTAATGTTATTTCTTTTTTAATGTTTTACAACAAAAGAGAATGTTTATTTTTATAGGGTCTCGTATAGAAGCAGGGATCTCAAGCTCTCAAAAATCCCAGTTTCAGGAATTTTTGTTAAGAGCAAACAAGTATAATACACTGGATATATTTGGTGGTGGTGGTGGTGTAATGACGAGGAGAATTATCCTGGTTGAAGTAAGTATGTTTATAAGTATTTATCAGATTGTTTATAATGGAAGGTCTGTAATTCAATAAATAATTATGTTGAAAAGTATTTAGTAACAGCAAACCACAAAATAATTATATATGGAAGTTGTTGGCAAGTTTGTGATACATGATTCTATAACAAAATAAATTATGAAAATTCATTTTAAATCAATTAAATTTTTATCAGCATTTTTTTTTCAAGCAACTTCTTATATGAATATCTTATTGATACCATGGTTTTTATCAATATTTGAAAAAGAATATGGAAAATGTGCCCAATGAAGAATTATCCACTTTAATTATAATAGTTTTCTGAACCATTACGTTTTCTTACAAATATATATTTCTCTGAAAGAGCCCGAAATGGAACGAATGAACAAGATAGAATGTGTATCAAAATACTTTTCTTCAGTTAGTTTTGTTGGGTAGATGTTTTAGGAAACAATCAGATTTTAGACAGCCACAACTGTTTTAGAAATAACCAAAAACAAAAATTGCAAAGATCCCTTGTAGATGACAGTATTTAAGTCATTGTTTTATCTGGAGAAAACTTGAATCATTGTTTTATTAGGGGAAAAACATGTATCGTGTTGTTTTTAAATTGAATTCTTAACAATAGTTCGCTTTGTTTGAGTTCATGTTACAATAGTTTACCTATTTCAGGACTTCCCGAACATGTTCTTCAGAGAAGCAGCTCCATTTCATGACATTTTAAGGTAAGATAGTAAACTAATGGAGCTTGTTGTTTGTTGAAAATGTTTTACAAATACTTTTTTAAAAAATATCCAGAATCTACATCTTCTCTCTACTAAATAGAGTCTTCAAATATTTGCAGGTAAAATCAATTGCGATACTATAATATAATAATTATAATGAACTATATATAATATAAAGCAAATATGAAAATTTGATAAGTCATTTCCTGTAAATAAGTATACCTGATGAAGTCTTTCGAGTCGAAATGTTGTATATTTTTTCAAAATTAAACAATATATTTTTAAATTGAAACTGGAGTTGATTTCTATATTGAACTTACTATAAGTCTAAAGTGTAATTGTTACTATTGCAACAAAGTACAAGTTTTCCTACTTTTTTTTTTTTTGATATGTTATACAGGAGGTATGTGCAGGTTGGAGGAAGTCCACTTATATTCATAGTTAGTGACAGTACTAGTGGGGATTCTAATGAGAGGCTGCTCTTTCCCAAGGACCTACAAGCCCAGCTCAACATAGAAAATATCAGGTATAGTTTTACAATAACACAGAAGTTTTCATTCACTGTTTACATGTTGCTGTGGGGCGTCCGTGACAGAGTGATTAAGGTTGTTGACTTCAAACCACTTGCCCCTCACCATTGTGGATTTGAATCCCGAAAGGGACTTTGGATTGTTTCATGTGAGGAAGCTATCCAGCTAGCTTTCGGAACGTCGGTTGTTCTACTCAAGTTCCCATTCGTGCCTGAAATAATGCAAGGAAGGGCACCTGAGGTTTTCCTCCACCAGTAAAGCTGAAATGTCTCCATATGACCTATAATGTGTCGGTTGTTCCTGTGAAGAAACTACAAAGCTACATTTTGTAGTTTTCAAAAGGCCAGAGTGATGCTATGGTTTTTATCAATGTTTGAAAAAAATCGGGAAAATATTGGTAAAATTTGCCTTTGTTCCCACCTCTGTCTTAAAAATTGCTTATGTCTGTGTGTTTCTTTTTCTACACAAGTCAAAGTTCAAAAGACACTCTGTCACCATTTACATATTCATAGCTACTTCAAACTCTACAAAAAAAATTTAAATTGCAACATTTCTTTATTCACAAGTAAAAGAAGTATCTCCAAACTCTATAACAAGTAGAAAAACTGATAGCGAACAGCATGGATCCTGATCAAACTGTGCAGATGCGCAGGCTGGTCGGGATCCATGCTGGTCGCAAACCCATTATGTAGGTTTTGTCGTGACGCAGCTCATTTATCCTTTTTAATTCTTGTCTTCCTTTTCCCCCACAGTTTTAATCCAGTTGCTATGACGAGTATGACCAAGATACTGACTAAAGTAGCCACGGAGGAATCATTGAAAGGTAGTCATAAATTTACTGTGCCATCTAAGTCTGTGATAGAATCTATTGCCATGGCGAGTGCTGGAGATATCAGAGGTGCCATCAATGCCTTACAGTTTGCTTGTCTAAAAGGTACGGCTGGTTTATACCATACTCATATTGTTGTTGTTTTTTTATTCATTGGTGAATATATAATATGTAGAAGAACAATTCTTAAATTCATAAGCTACATACATGTATGAACAACAACAGTCTGGTTAAGATTTACCTGACACAAAATATGACTACAACAGTAGTCTCAGTACAATACAATACAATGACAGACATTAAATAAAAAGAATTATTCAATATCAACATATTGCAACATATACATATATTATGTGAATGTAATGGTGTCAGTGACATTAAAATTTATATTAAACGCACTACTTTATATTTTCACACATATAAGGCATTATGGTGATGCATATTTCATTTTCAGAGTTACTTTTCATAAAGAGAATTGATCTATAAGACATATTTTATTTATATGATATTCAAGTTGCTTTACACTATCTGCAGTTTTATTATATGACTGTAAAGGCTTAAAACTGAAGTCCATCGGTATTTATAAAACAGTCAGTCAGAGGGAAACAGTAATTTTGCTGCTTAAGCAAAGTATCAAGAATGTTTGCTTGCAAGCATATTCATACAAATGTTAGATTATGATTAACATAAACATTAGTTTTTCTGGGCAGCAAAAGTCCATTGACAACTAAAATTGATCTGTAAAATAAGGTTATGCAAGCAAATCTTTTGAATGATCCAAATTACAAGAAATTATATGAACTTGTATACATGTAAGATTTACTTTGTCAAATATTTTATTGTTATATTTATAGACACATGTGATTTAGCAGCTGCAAGTTATTCTAAAGGTAAGACAAGATTAACCAAGAAATCATCAACGACAGGAAAGAAAGGATCTACCACAAAGAAGACATTGAGTAAAACCAGCAGCTCCCAGAAGGATGAGGAACTTATGTCTATAGGTGGCCGAGATACATCATTGTTCTTGTTTAGAGCTCTTGGAAAAATACTTTACTGTAAAAGTAAGTTTTGGGTAATAATTGTGTTCTAACTGTAATTATTCTTCTGAAGTCTTGTAGATATGTTTACAGAGGCTTGTATATCAATATCATGCTACAAGATAAAGTTTATAGAATTTTGTGAATACACACCTATTACAGAGCTTTGCACCCTACACTCAACCTGCTAGAACAAAAAGTAATAAGCCTTCCGCCAGAAGTATAGAGTAAGGCCAGCCTGTACATCTGTACAGTCTTGTCATGTCTATATTGTTGGCTGAATAACTTCAAATTTTTATTTTGATACCATTAAATTAATAGTTTAAAAAATAGAAGTTTTAATTGTCCATGTAAGAATTTCAGCAGGTATTTTGTTAACTATACTTTAACTGTTCAGTCTTAAGAAAAGAGTTATGCCATAGAGATTATTTGTGTACATAATTGTAGGAAATAATTGTGCATTTAAGCATGATACAATGTACTACTGTCTAATTTTAATAAAAACTTCTTCAAAATATTATGTACATATTTCTGTATGGTTACAGGAACTGATCCAGGTGAGGATGAAGAAAACCGAGCAGTTTTACCATCACATCTATCACAGTATTATAGAGACCCTCTACAAGTTGATCCTGAGGTAAACACTATCTTGCTGATAGTGATACAAGGTCAATTGTTCCAATCTGATGCCAATTTCACCTGAAATAACATTAGGATGACCCATCTATAGTCTTTTCCTATCGGCATAAGCTAGAAAAGAGCCATATTATTATTATAGGCTGGAATATTGTCTATTGTAGACATAAGTTTATTACATTCTTACTATTTCTAAGCTTAAATATTTATTGGTTGTCTTGAATTAAGGCATGGTTTGAAATTTTTTCATGAATATGGCTGCTGCTAAAGATTGTAGACCTTTTTATGACAGAATAAAACAGTACAATGTTAATATATCTATGACAAATTGATTATGAATTAATGTAAGGTGTACATGAAATACTATCTTAGGTAACTTTCAGTATTAGTATTGTTATTAAGGATGATTTTGTAAGAATTGTATTGAGTTTCATAAGACTGTTAATAGGTAAATTTTGAATTTTTTTTTTTGACAAAATGTTTGTATTTATGAAGGACGTTGTAGAGAGGTCACATCTGTCAGGAGATTTCTTTGGTGCTTACCTACATCAGAACTATGTTGAGTTTTTCTCCAGTATAGAGGATTTAGTCACAGCTAGTGAATACATCAGTGATGCTGATTATCTAACCATAGATTGGGCTGTAAGTTTATCATGCTTTCATAACTGAATATAATATCATATACCCCGATATTTGTTAAAAATGACTTTTTGGTCATTTTTTCACATCTTCAAGTTGAACTTTCATATTTTAAAAGATTGACTGTTATAATGTTGATGGACCAACAGTTGATGTTGGAAAAATTTTAAGATAAAATATAAATCTGCTTAGAATATAAAAAGACTGCCCCACTGTTTTTATAAATTGAACGTTACAGATAAATGACTGGATATTTATAGAAATTTCCTTGGGTGGCGCGAGTTATTTATCAGTCATGGGAAGTAAATTTTAAGATTGAAAGGAATTATGGCAAAATGTAAACTTATTTTGACTTTCACCTGTTTACTCACTATATACCCTTGGATGGACATAATGTAGCTTTAAGGTGACAATGGAGTCAATTATCACTGAAATTACCTAAAATGAGATTTTTTGCTTAGTAGATTTATCAACCTTTTCTGAACACATTCAAGATTTAATTTTGGAAGCAGTTAGTCCAAAATATGTGTTTTTAAACGTTTTAAAATTGTACCTGTACCATTTTTATCTGCTATTCATGTAACCTGTCAATTATCGATAACGCTCCGCCCCCTGTTGAGGCATCAATGAGGGAAATCGGTAGTTCCATATATCCGTGAATTACCAGTCCATACTGGTCCATACTACTCGTAATTCATGTATCATACAAATACCGTACATCTTTTATGAATATCTCAACATTTAGCCATTTTTATAAAATAAGAAATTGTCGGCCAATGTCTGTAACATAATGTATGAAACATGAATAATTAAGCATAGCAGCAAATCGCAAGACCACGGGGTTGATTAAAAATATAGTTGCTAAAATATCCATAATGTGTGAAAATAATTTGTCTGTCCCGTTAATCTGATAGATATTACATTGAGTTTATGGACTTTTGTACGGATTCAACGGCTTGCTTTACACTCAACTTTGTTTTCTAACAATGTCAAGTAAAACAACAACAAAAACACACAACATTTTTATGTGAACGCCTATAAGATGTCCCTGACAAATTTCTAAACCATTTTAGATTGTTTAAGGATGATTATTTCTCTATGAATCAATAAAAAAAGATGTTAATATATATTATCAGTGAATGCCTTGAATAAATTGTTCGCCAGTTCTAATAAACCTGGGACAAGTATGGAATTTATTGTATATCCCAGTAGAAACTGGATATCTATGCCGTGCATAGATGATTTTCATGATAATAGAAGTCAAGAAGGTCAGATCATAATGATCGAGTGATACCTTTTATTTCTATTAAAATATGTGAAGCATTATCAATTTGGAGGAAAAAATATATAATATCCCGTTCTTATTTGTACATCTACCATGGCCTTTAAAATACCGTCAGAAGCACAGTTTTTTGTTACTTTAATTTATATTTTAACGGAATTTCATACAGGAATACACAGAGTGACACTGGTATAATATAATAATAATGCTGATGATAATAAATTGAACCAATTAAATACCACGCTAGCGGTGCTCAAATACGTTCCATTCCCTCCCACCGAGTGCCTCAAATTTTACCGAAAGTCACGTGACATGTGCGACCGATACCAGACAGACAGTAAATCACGTTAAGATTTGAAGAACTTTCTGTTATAAACTGATATTAATCAGCAACTTTTTAATTGGTCAGATGTCACTGGGTCATAAAATGTTGTTAGAGTATGTTACCGTAACCTGTGACCCTCTCTGGTGCGATATTTGTGTATTATGCAATTATTTAGCGTGAAAAGTAGGGATCCCAGAGAAAGAGCAGCCGATTTATGACACTTCGTTTGATGCGAGTCAGACTAACTTTGAATCGACATAACTTTTTTAATAATCAAGCAATTAACATGCGGTTTAAAGCACATGAAAGGGAATTCATTTACAGAGGGAACCGTGTCAGGGATTTTTGTTTGCTCAATCAGCAACTTAATTATCTTTATTTACGTAATATGTATGGTTAAAAAGACGCATAAATTGTTTGATGTTACGTAATATTTTTTTGAGAAAAGATAGAAAAAATTTGAGACACAGTTCCCTAGATATTATAAGTATGCTTATTTTCCAAAAGTTTGATAACAAAAAAATAAAAAATGACTTTGATATGACGATTTAAAATTTTAGGATTTTTTATAAAAATCAATCATTTACAAAGGCATTTTTTTCAAATATGTTATTTTTTTATGATGATCATTGACATTTAATGCACAAAGATTAAATAAATAACAATTATTACTAAAATAAGTTGGTTTAAATGACATTTATGTGAGTACCACGGAAAGTGTCTGTTGTCACCTTAACATATTCATGCAACTGATGAATTTTACTTCTAAGTTTAATGGGTTTTTTTAGCTCACCTGAGCTTGCTCAGGGTGAGCTTTTAGGATCGGTGAATGTCCGTCGTCCGTCGTCCGTCCGGCTGTCCACAATTGCTTGTGAACACTCTAGCGGTCGCATTTTTGCCTCAATCATCATCAAACTTGGTCAGGATGCTTATCTAGTTGAAGGCTCGGATGAGTTCGAACATGGGTCATCTCGGATGAAAAACTAGGTCACAAGAGCTAAAAATAGAAAAACTTTGTGAACACTCTAGAGGTAATATTTTTGACCCAATCATCATCAAACTTGGGCAGGATGTTTGTCTAGGTGATAGCTCGGATGAGTTCGAACATGGGTCATCTCGGATGAAAAAGTAGGTCACAGGAGCTATAAATAGAAAAACCTTGTGAACACTCTAGTGGTCACATTTTTGAACCAATCATCATCAAACTTGGTCAGAATGCTTGTCTAGTCAATTGCTTGGATGAGTTCGAACATGGGTCATCTCTGATGAAAAACTAGGTCACAGGAGCTAAAAATAGAAAAACCTTGTGAACACTCTAGTGGTCACATTTTTGACCCAATCATCATCAAACTTTGTCAGGATGCTTGTTTAGATAATAGCTCAGATGAGTTCGAATATGGGTCATCTCGGATGAAAAACTAGGTCACCGGAGCTATAAATAGAAAAACCTTGTTAACACTTTAGCGGTCACATTTTTGCATCAATCATCATCAAACTTGATCAAGATGCTTGTCTAGGTGATAGCTCGGATGAGTTCGAACATGGGTCATCTCTGATGAAAAACTAGGTCACAGGAGCTAAAAATAGAAAAACCTTATGTTAACACTCTAGTGGTCACAATTTTGACTCAATTGTCATCAAACTTGGTCAGGAAACTTGAATAGGTCATTGCTTGGAATAAATTGAACATGGACATCTCGGATGAAAAACTAGGTCACATGAGCTAAAAATAGAAAATCTTGTTAACACTCTAGTGGCTACTGTTGTGATCCAAATATTCTGTTAATTGGTCTGAAAGTTTTTTTTGATGATTTCTAAGTCAAGATCAAACATGGGTCATTCTTGATGAAAAACTAGGTCACACCGCCCAAATATGGAAAAACCTTGTTAACATTCTAGTGGTGACATTTTCGACTCGATTATCATCAAACTTGGTCAGGATGCTTGTCTAGGTAATTGCTTGGATTAGTTCGAAATCGCATGTGAAACTAGGTCACCGGAGCTAAAAATAGAAAATCTTGTTAACACTCTAGTTGCTACTGTTTTGATCCAAGTATCCTGGAAATTGGTCTGAAAGTTTGTTTGATGATTTCTAGGTCAAGTTTGAATATGTGTCACCTGGGTAAAAAACTAGGTCGCACTGCTCAAATATTGGATAATCCTTGTTAACACTGTAGTGGTCACATTTTTGACTCACCTGTCATGAGACTTGGTCAGAATGCTTGTCTAGGTAATTGTTTGGATGAGTTTGATAATTCAGGTGAGCGATCAAGGGCCATCATGGCCCTCTTGTTTATGAAAAGGTCATGCTCACTGACTTAAACTCCCTGCTGCAGATGTAAATTCATGTGATAGGACTATCCACCAAGTTAACCATATGTTGATTTTATCAGAATTAAGCTTACAGTCATTTCCCCAAGTCTTTTTGTTTTATGTATACAATTTTATATATCTAATATCCATTTTGCTATAAATGTTATGAATTTAGATGATAAATAAACTTCTGACTTCATGTCATTCAAACCCTCTATGCTGTTACCTATTTAGTCTAGGTCAGCACTACAGCAGTATGCAGCATCAGTTGCCACAAGAGGTATCATGTTCTCAAACAGTAGTCGAGCCCGACATACAGACAGTGGGGGCGGAGGTCTTGGCTGGAAACCTCTACATAAACCACAGTGGTATACAGCTTCCAAACAAGTATGTTCTATGACTTATGCTCAGTTACTTATTTCCAAGTCTCTTTTAGTTGATTATAGTTTCTAATTGCGTAATTCTCTCCTTTTACCTATATCAGTTAGAGAACCACCTTTGAAAAATGAATTCTTGCAGATGTTAAAGCTATTCAGCTGCCTGTGGGCATGTTGGTATTTAATATTAGGATCCAGTTTGAGCAGGAAAAAAAAGTAATTTGTTGCACCTGGACTTCCATTTAGCAGAACAGTAAGACAAATACTTGTGTGAAACTTCATGAAAATTTGAATCATAAGATGATCTATCTGATGGGGAGTTTATGCCCATTTCTGCCTCTTTCAGTGGTAATGTCAGAAATAAAAGTGTAAATAAGATTCTCATGCTGTGCCTTGCTTTCTGTTGATACAGGTGTAAAATATTTAATTATTTCATCACTATATATTTCAGGCAAGACAAAATTCTGAAACTGCAAGATATCTGTTCCGAAGTGAGTTTAACAAGTTTTTAATTTCAACTACAATTGGAATGTAATTATTAAAATTGCTTGCATTAAAAAAGAGTTCACTAAATAATGCATGAAATAAAACATTTTTTTATTGTAATGTTGAGTAAAATTAGATAGTGCAAACATTTTTAGAAATGCAGATTTTCCCCTCTGAATTTATACAGCAAGTGCTGTTTGCTTTTGGTTTTGTTACAGTAACTACACAATAAAACTTGGCATAATACTATAAGAATTAAAGAGGTGTTATTTTAATTATAGCACTTTGTTGAGATGTGTTGATATTTTTACAAGTAAAAATGTTTTATTTTTGATATTTGTTTAACTTCAGGTTACCGGGCTCCACCAGTTGTTTTACAGACAGAATTAATACCATACACCTCACTTATAAATACAACTCTTCATGATACTGGTAGGTATTTCTCTTATTTTCTACAACTGTACAAATTCTATAACACTGACCAGTATTTTGACAGAATATTTGCAAAGAATTTCGAGATTTTGTCAAAGCCGTGAATTGCAAAATGCTGACAATGTGTACCAGGGCACTTGATGATGAAGCATCTGAAAAAAATGAACCTTGAAAACCTGGTTTAGTTGCATTGCATCATAATATTAACTTCTTATTTGCTTTCATTTCAGGTCAAATATCATTTATGCAGGAAATTTGCAGATTTTCTAGTCATAAAACCAGCAGGTATGTTGTGATTTTTCTACAGTTTAGTTCTTGCTGTAAGCTCTTGTTTAAGTTTGCATAATGTGCTTAAACATCTGCATTTTTGTATCATTTGGAGTTTTGTTTACATGTTTTAGTTATTGTTCATAAAATTTATTCAGAAAAAATTCCTCAAAGCTTTTGTGAGTTTTGTTTAAATTCAAATTGTATGAAACTGTGACAAATATGGCTTTTGTAAGAAAGGAACTTTCAACTTAATAGTCCGATTTCAAACAGATTTCACCATTATTCAAGAAATTCCACAGAATAAAACACAGATTCATTAAAGATATCTTCTGTTTGTTGAATTTAAACTCACAAAAAATCCAACATTTTGTAAATGGAAATGATTTAAAGATAAATGTTTGAAACAGTTGCAATTATATCTGGTAAAGACCTAAATACATTAATGTCAATATTGGCCAATGGGTCAAACTCTGGATTAAGAAAAGTACTTTTTGACATTCTCTGTTATCCTAACATGAACGCTGTGAGAAATTGTACTTATGATGGCTGGCTTACATGTTTCTTATAAAATGATTTCAGGTATGAAAAACTTGATGAAAAAGAAATAGATATGGAAGATGATGATGCAAGTCAATCAGTCAATCAAAAATCAGAACAATCTGTGTTGCCAGGGGATACTGATGATGTCATAAGCAACAGCCAATCAAATTTAAAATCCTCACAGGAAGAGGAGGAGGAATACATCATAGAAGATTATGATGATTGAAGAAAGAATTCCAAAAACGATGATTTCATGTGTAGTTTTTCATTTAAAATGTTTTTAAGATCATTTTATTCTTGTTGAAGAAATAAAATGAAAATAAATTTTGTCAGGCAAGTCAAAAGTGTTTAAACTAAAGAGACATTAACAACAGATAGGTTGTCTGAATAACAGGTGCTATGTATTGTTCTTTTGCTAAGTTAATTATTAATTTAATTGATATGTTAATGAACAAATTTTAGGTTTTGATAATAATTATCATGTTCTTTAACATTTTGTTATTTCTTTCTCTTTCTGGCAGAAAATGTTATTAGAGCTGTGATATGCCGTCCCTTAATTTACTTTACGTTTATACGCTACAAATGAAATTGAATCCTCTACCAGAATTGTGTGATAATGTTAAATTGACAAAATATGCATTAAAACTTTGTTCTACGTTTTCTTTAGTTTTTGTTGTTCATTTTATATCCAAATTAATTTTACCCCTATAAATGGTGCAGAATGAAATTCAAGCTTTACTCAGATCTGTATAGACAATAATAAGCAATGACATTGAATGAATCAGTGATGGAAATTCAGAGAAAGATCTGAAGAAAATTCAGCATTGGAAAGTTGGTAAAATGGTATAAGGTAACTGAGCCTTTGTGATCTTTAGTCATGATTACTGATGAAATATAGTAAGAATTTATTTATAAAATTTCTACAGTAACATAGTAAGTCTGGTCTGATTAGAAAATATCAGATTTCAAGTGTTGCTAGATAAAAAGTATTTTCAGTTATTAAACCAGTAGTACAATGTTATTTTGCTCATGCTTATAGCACCAAAGTATCATATTTGTAAAGCATAAAACATTTCTGTAGAAGTTACAGGGTGTAAAGCTATAACTTGTGAGTTTTAAGTTTCCAAATTTAAAAGCTGTATAATTAAGTTGTGTTTATCTTCATTGTGTATTCTTGGGAGATTTTAACCTACTGAGATTGTGGAATGAATTTCCTGCGTTAAATTTAAGACAATCCATTCAAAGTTTAAGGGATATCAGTATTATAATACAAAAAATAAGCTATCAACAGTTTAGAGCTTGATGGCAGAGGCTAATTTATCAATTTGGGTTCAAACAGTTGAAGGGTTAAGAAATGGTGTCTCTAAATTAAAGCATGAGTTACAAAAGGAAACCAAATTAAATGCAAATGATATTCTAACTAAATAAAAAGCTGCACATTTTAATTATAACTATAAGAATGATACTGCACATGTATAACCAGCTGTACTGGTAATTTACAAACATTATTCTGTCAGTTTTAGTTATTACTAAGGTTATCGGGATTCGAACAAATAATACACTGATTACAGTCGGCCGAAATATAGCTTAAAGCCTTTATAAAGCTTAAATAAGCCTGAATACATTCTATAAAAAGTAATATCAAGACTAGTTTAAGGGGAGCAGTGGCTGAGTGGTTTAGGTGTCTGCCTTGCAACCCTGGGATGATGGGTTCGAGACATTCAAACTGTATAATTTAGTTACGGGAAGCACAACGAAGGTTGACCGCAGTAACTTATATGATTTAAAGAAAGACTTACAACAGTTTTGCGGTCAACCCTCTATAAGAGCAGTTCAAATAAAACATAAACCTCAATTAACTAGATCGATACAACGGGGTTCCAGGCTACTCCTTAGTTTTTTAAGCAATACTCTTTCTAGCCATTTTATCCTTACACTCATTGAAAAAGTTATTTAAAAAAAAAAAAGGTCATGAAAGGCACATGACTCAACAATGATTACGTTTTAACTTTCTTAGACCCAGGAAACAAGGGGTTTTATAATGTTAAAATACTGGTTTAAAAGCATGTTTGATGTTTTAATCTGACAAAGTAGACTTAAATTTGAAAGTATTTCCGATGTAAGTATTTGTCATAAAGCAGTAAAGTGTAAACAAAATAGTTATTTGACTTCTGTACAGAATACTCAATCACTATAAGTGTACTCATTGCCAAAAACATCAAAAGAAAAAAAAATGGTTCTGGTGAGGTAATTAGCCAATGAGAAACTCTCTGAAAACTGTTAAAATGCACCAAAAATAAAAAGCTTTTGAGAAATATAAATAAAAGCATTTTTGGACATAATGGGCCTTTAAGGTTGAACAAAATAAATAAATTAAGTATTCTATCAGGTTAGTGATATTTGTATTTCCAGGTGAATGTTTGATTAATTTAGACTTTTCATGCTGAAGAATGCTCCATTAAGTGATCAACTTTGTACCCTAGTTATACAACAGATAGTTGTGTTGTTTATAATTAGATGTTATTATAATGACTTGGCTTATTTCAACACATCATCCACAGATTATTTATTTCCCAGCAACCTAATTATGCCAGCTGTTTATCTCAATTACACAGTAGTATTATACTTACTGACCCATTTAGAATTGGAAGACTTAACTTCCCCTCTTCTGAGCTGAGTTGACAATATCAGTCAGTGATTGTATGAGTCAAGTATTGCTGCAAACTTTTGTAACATTGCTTCTAATATTCTTGGTAATTTGTTTTTTACTAAACAGTTTTACAAACATTGATGATGTATCTCTGATATAGATATGTAACTTTTAACTCTAAGCTTGCATGCCAGCAAGTGACTGTTATATTTGTGAAACAAAAATCCTACAAATTTTCACAGATATTAATTTACTTGCCTAGCTATAAATTTTAAACAGTTTGTTGTTGATATGATGAATTGAATATTAAAATTCTAAAATTTATCTAGTCATTTATAGATAATGATGTTTTCTGAAAAAAAATGGGCATGCTTTTAAGCAACATTAGATACTGTGTTAAAAAAGATATGATACTGATTACTTGAGTCTTGTAGTGTGTAGCTAGGCACCAAGACACACACTTGTTTGAAATGAGATAACTCCATCCTTTATTAAGTTTTATAATCATAAATGTCCTCATTTCTGTATTTCATAGAATAACACGGTTGATAGGCAGTATGGATGTTAAAGTCAATATGAAATAGTTTATTGTTTATCTTGTAATTATACCAGAATATTCTCTGTACAATTAATTGATGGAAGTTTGAAAATGTTTAAAAATATTTATTTATGACAGATTTTGAAGCATTTTCTTGGGATAATTCAGCAAGCTTGTAATGTCAGCTTTTTCGATCGCACCAGTACTGATGTCACTTTAGGATTAAGTGTCATGATCCCAGAAGAACTGAAACCCATACAACTCCAGATTTGAAAGGCAGACACAAACTTATAATAAGCCCACAGCATCTAATGAAGCTAGAAAGTTGGTGCTAGGTATTTGGGATAAAATGTTGAATATAATGTATTTCACTCTCCATATAGAGAATATCACTAATTTTTAGCTCGACTATTCGAAGAATATGAGAGCTATTGTAGTCGCCCCGGCGTCAGCGTCCGTGTAGGCGTCTGCGTTGGTTAAAGTTTTTTGTAAAGTCAAATATCTCAATTATTGCTTGAGATATTCAATTGAAACTTACAATACTTATTTATAGTTACAAGGTACATCAGATTGACAAGTTGGATAACTCTGCCTACAATATTGACAGAATTATGCCCCTTTGAAACTTAGAGATTTTGGTTAAAGTTTTTTTGTAAAGTCAAATATCTCAATTATTGCTTGAGATATTCAATTGAAATTTACAATACTTTTTTATAGTAACAATGTACATCATTTTGCCAAATTGCATAACTCTGTCTGCAATATTAGCAGAATTATTTGCCCCTTTGAAACTTAGAGATTTTGGTTAAAGGTTAAAGGTCTTCAAAGATATTTACTTGAAACTTTACACATGTACTTAGGGTCATAATTTGAGGGTCATAATTGTATGTCACTGACCAAGTTCCATAACTCTATCTTGCATTAAGGCTGATTCATATCCCCTTTTCTACTTAGTCTCTTGGTTAATGTTACATATCTCAATAACTATTAAAGATATTTATTTAAAACTTCACATATGCATTTAGGGTCAGAATTGTAGGTCACTGACAAAGATCCATAATTCTATCTTGCATTTAGGCTGATTTTTCTTCCCTTTTTCAACTTAAAAAATTCATGGTAAAGTTTTGCTTCTAAGCTGTTATCTCCATAACTACTGAAGGGTTTGTGCCTTTTTTGGGACAATTTTATATTTTATAAAAAAAAATTAGCCCTTTTGTGAACTTAGAATATTTAACATTATTAAGGCTCTTTTACTATCAAGCACTTAGAAAAGTCGAGCGTGCTGTCCTATCGACAGCTCTTGTTAAATAGCATTGTATTTAAATTTATAAAAGATAGGAAAATCTTTGACTCTATCAACTTTTCCATGCATTCTTACCAGGCCCTTTACTGATTCATGCCATCTAATGAAACTGTCCTGCTTCATGCATCTCAACATACTCTATACTGATTTATATTATCTTACCATACCCTATACTGCTTTATACTATCTTACAAGAATGATGCTTCATGCAGTCTTACCAGACTCTTTACTGCTCCATGCAGTCTTACCAAACTCTGTATTGTTCCATGCAGTCCTACAAGACTCTATCCTCTCTGGCGTGGGTTCGATCCCCGGGAGATGCTTTGGTAGTTTAGCGCGGAGGAAGGTAGTCTAGTACTGGTGTATCTCTCCAGGAACGATGGTTAGGAAACTACCCGCCTATATGACTGAAATACTGTTGAGAAAGGCGTAAAATTAAAGAAACAAACAAACAAAACAAGACTCTACAAGCATACTGCTCCATGCATTCTCACAATACTCTACTGCTCCTTGCAGTCTTACCAGAATCTATATTACTTCATGCATTCTCACCATACTCTATACTTCTCCATCCATTTTTACCATACTCTATTCTGCTCCATTCAGTCTAACCAGACTCAATAATGCTCCATGCAGATTTACAGACATTACTGCTCCATCATTCTATATAGTAACCAGACTCTGTATGCCTTTATATAGTCTTACCAAACTCTTTGCTGCTTCATACTGTGATTCTTGCAAGATTCTGTACTGTTGCCTTATCTTTTTTTTTATATTTGAATCCTTTAAACAAAATACAGACAGATTCAAGTTTAAAGAAGAACATGTCCATAACAATTTACTTAAGTATGGATTAAGATGCCAAAATAAATTTGAAATAAGGCCTAGTTTGATTTTTTACTAAATATTTAGTACATACAATTGGGGGGTATTAATATTTAATGTTATATTAATGTCATTGACATGACCCCTTTTATCTTAAAGCTTTTCTTAAAATGCATCAACATTCTGTTTAATCTAAAAGAGGGACAGTTATCAGTATAGCTGCTAGGTGTATTTTAAGATTAAAATGTCCTTAAATGTCTGATGATTTTATTAATGTAAAGAGACTGTGATTGCAAGTGAACTATCCTATCAATCTAATATCAAATTCCTATTGTTTTATT